CCACACAAGGAAAGGTTGAAAAAACTGGCTTTCCTTAATCTTGAGAAGGGAAGACTGAAGGGTGCGCTTTGCTAAGGGTGCTTCAAATAAAGAAAGAGAAACAACCCCTTTCCTGAAAGAGAGAAAGGGGTCTGCAGGGAACAGGACAAGAAGTAACAGGCTTAGATTGCAATGGGATTTTCACATTGAATCTTAGGAAGGACTGCTTAACTATAAGGGTGGTTCATAGATTCATAGATGTTAGGGTCGGAAGGGACCTCAGTAGGTCATCGAGTCCAACCCCCTGCCCTGGGCAAGAAAGAGATGACCCCAGCTAGGTGCTTGTCCAGTCTCCTCTTGAAGACCTCCAAGCTAGGAGACAGCACCACCTCCCTTGGAAACCCATTCCAGATTCTGACAACCCTTACTGTGAAGAAGTTCTTTCAAATGTCCAACATAAATCTGCTGTCTGTCAATTTGGGGCCATTGTTCCTAGTTATTCCAGGGGGTGCCCTAGTAAATAGGTCATCTCCGATTCCCTGCTGCCCTCCCTGATGAATTTATAGTCAACCACAAGATCATCTCTCAGCCTTCTCTTGTGAAGGCTGAAGAGATCTAGGTCCCTCAGTCTGTCCTTGTAGGACCTGGCCTGCAGGCCTCTGACCATTCAAGTAGCCTCCTCTGAACCCTCTCAAGATTCTCCACATCCCTCTTGAAGTGCGGCGCCCAAAACTGGATACAGTACTCCAACTGCGGCCTGACTAGTGCCGCATAGAAGGGAAGCATCACCTCCCTGGAGCAATTCGTCATGCATCTGCTAATGCATGATAAAGTGCAGTTAGCCTTGTTGATCACTTTGTCACATTGACGACTCATGTTCATCTTGAAGTCAACTATGATTCCAAGATCCCTTTCCGCTACTGTGATGGTTAAGCATTGGTGCAGATTACCTAGAGAGGTTATGGAATTTCTATCATTGGAAGCTTTTTAAGTGCAGGTAATGCAGGCTAGATATAGACATTCAAAAAGCCTGAGGTTGAATTGATCTAAGTTACATAGTTTTTTGTAAGTAATATAATTTAGATTGGTAGTGGACAGAACACATATTTACCCTTGGGAGGGGGAGGGGCACAAATCTTAGACCAGGTTACACCATTTTTTAAACCAGTCTATGTGCGTTGAACTTCTGGTCTGTTACTGGTATAGACCAATTTTCAATCACTTATTGAAAGTGAAAGTGTAATGTCTGTATCTGGCCACAAATGCTACGTTGGGATAACTTATACAGGGATAATCCTGCCGTGAGAAGGTAGTTGGACTAGATGACCTCCTTAACTTCCTTCCAGGTCTATTTTTCTATGGTTGGTGGGATTGTTTTGCAGAATTGAGACCTGTGCATTCATTCTGCTATTGCAACATGTGAAATACATGATGCAAGCATTCTGTAGACAAGACCCCAGATCATCTTGGCTTTTTGATACTAGTTTTAAGATCCAGCAAGAACTGCAGGGTTACTACAACTATAGAATTGCTGAGTAGTCTACATTTATTCCTCCACCTTCCAGAAGGGCTTGTCTACACCAGGAAAATTACCACATAACTAGGGTGATACAGTTATGCCACCAAAGTTACACCAGTAAAAATCTTTGTGGCTATGTACAGACAGTCAAAAAGCCTGAGGCTGAATTGATTCAATGTTTTCAGGTTACTCTAAAGTCCGTAGATTGAACTGAGAAGCAAGTGAACAGATATTCATGTTTGATTCTGGAAATGCAGTCATATGCCTGCAGTGACTCAGACTAGAAGCTGGGGGGCACTAGACCAAGCCCTCCTTTCCCTTCAGCAGCATCTGGAAGGCTGGAGAAAAACTGGGAGAGAAGCCCTCCAAACTTTTCCCCCTTTCCTGCTCGAGCAGAGTGGGGGGAGGGTCCAGCCAGGCCCACTGAGTATAATTGGCAGGGGGGTTTAAACCCCCACCTTGGCTTGCATGGACCCAGCCAAGGTCTTCCTAGGGGGAAAGAGGGGAAGCATCCCCTGCCAGGCTTTCACCTGCTCCCTGCTGGAGCGAAGGGGTAGAGTGTGGCCAGGCCCCGCCCAACTGACATGCTGAAGCAGAGGGGAGGGAAGAGGGGTTTAAAACTCCTCCCTCACCTTCATGGGAACCCAGCCCAGGTCTGCTTGGCAGGGGTGTAGCAGCTACTGCCTGGCTTTGCTCCACTCATCACTCCAGTGGCTGGCATGCCGAGGCAGAGAGAAGGGAGGGGGGTTTAAATATCCTCCCCCTGCCCACACAGGACCCCAGCCAGGGTCTGCTTTGTAAGGGGATACAATGGTAGGAATCTACTACAGACCTCCAAATCATGAACAAGAACTTGACCATGAATTCACCAGGGAACTGGCTGAGGCTGCACGCTCTCGGTGCATGGTTGTTATGGGAGACTTCAGCTACCCGGACATCTCATGGGAAGAGCACTCAGCCAAATCCAGTTGGTCTCAAAGCTTCCTCACATGCGTGGATGAACTCTATTTGTCTCAAGAAGTTTATGGGCCAACAAGAGGTAAGGCGCTGTTTGACCTGGTACTGGCTGAAGGAGATGATCTAATCAGTGACCTAAGAATTGAAGGGAAGCTGGGCAACAGTGATCATGACTTGATCACTTTCACTATCCATTGCAAAGCTGGCAAGTCAGCCAGCAATGCAGTAGTCCTCGACCTTAGGAAAGCCAAATTTCATAAGCTCAGGAGGCTTGTTCTCAAGACCCTGAGAGGCCATGATTTGACAGGGAGGAGAGTTCATAATGAGTGGTCACTCCTTAAGGAAGCAATCCTAGAAGCACAAGGGAAGTCTGTCCCAACCCATAGGACAGGTGGTAAAAGGGCTCAGCAACCCCCTTGGTTCAACAGGGAACTCATGGATCTCCTATGTCTAAAAAGAGAGGCTTAAAAAGGATGGGAGACAGGAAACACCACTAAGGAGGAGTATTCTGCACTGGTATGCACCTGCAGGGATCGAACTAGGAAAGCCAAGCTGCAACTGAACTCAAACTGGCTATCAGGGACAATAAAAAGCCCTTCTTCAGATGGGAGACTTCAGCTACTCAGACATCTCATGGGAAGAGCACTGAGCCAAATCCACAAGGAGTAGACACCTACATAGTCAGGTGGGTAGCTAACTGGCTTAGGGACCGCACCCAGGGAGTGGTGGTTAATGAGTCGTTCTCGGCCTGGAAGGAGGTGAGCAGTGGGGTTCTGCAGGGTTCAGTCCTTGGACCGGTGTTATTTAATATCTTCATCAGCGATTTGGATGAGGGTGTGGTGAGCACCCTCTCCAAGTTCACAGATGATACCAAATTATGAGGCAAAGTGAATTCACCAGAGGACGGGGAGCAGTTACAGGCTGACCTGGACAGGTTAGATCAATGGGCGGAATGTAATAGGATGCAATTCAACAAAGATAAATGCAAGGTACTCCACCTAGCAAGGAGGAATCCCCAGCACACCTACAGGTTGGGGGATGTCCTCCTCAGCAGCTCAGAGGCTGAGAGAGATCTTGGGGTCATAGTTGACTCCAAGATGAACATGAGCCGGTAGTGTAATGAGGCCATCAACAAAGCCAAACATACCTTGTTGTGGATTAGCAGATGCATGACCAACAGACTGAGGAAGGTGATGCTCCCTGTCTATGCAGCATTGGTTAGGCCACAGTTGGAGTACTATGTCTAGTTTTGGGCGCCGTACTTCAAGAGGGACACAGAGGATCTGGAGAGGGTTCAGAGGAGGGCCACTCACATGATTAGTGGTCTCCGTGAAAGACCCTATGAGGAGAGGTTGAGAGATCTGGATCTCTTCAGCCTGTACAAAAGACAGCTGAGGGGTGACCTTGTAGCCATCTATAAATGTATTGGGGAGGACAGCAGGGAATTGGGGATGCACTGTTTACCAGAGCACCCCAGGGAGTAACTAGGAATAGTGGGTGCAAAGTAGTGGAGAGTAGATTTAGGTTAGACATTAGGAAGACATTTTTTTACAGTAAGGGTGGCTAGAGTCTGGAATGGGCTTCCACTAAGTTAGGTCTTGTCACCTAACTTGGAGGTCTTCAAAAGGAGGCTTGACAATCACCTGGCTGGGGCTGTCTGACCTCGGTCCTCTTTCCTGCCAGAGGCACGGGTTCGGACATGATAATCCATTGGGTCCCCTCCGATTCTATGAATCTATGTAATGCCTCCTGATATCAAGCCTGAACCTGCTCTCAATCAATTTGTGGCCATTATTCCTTGTTATCCCAGGTGGTGAGCGGGGAAACAGAGCCTCACTTATTTTCCGCTGGTCCCCCTGGTAAGTTTATAGACAGCCACCAGGTCTTCTCTTGTGGAGGCTAAATAGATTCAGGCCCTTTAGTCTATCTTTGTAGGGCCTGGCCTGCTGCCCCCTGACCATGCGAGTGGCCCTCTTCTGGACCCTCTCAGTGCTGGCCACATCCCTCTTGAAGTGTGGCGCCCAGAAGTGGACACAATACTCCAACTGCAGTCTGACCATTGCCAAATAGAGTAGAATGGTCACCTCCCTGGACCTGCTTGTGATGCATCTGTAGATGCATGACAAGGTGCGGTTAGCCTTCCTCACATTGGCAACTCAGGTCCATTCTGGAGTCAACAATGGCTCCAAGATCCCTTTCAGCCACTGTGTTGTTGAGAAGGGTGTTCCCCAGCCTGTAGGTATATTGCAAGTTCCTTCTCCCTAGATGCAGCACCTTGCACTTGTCTGCATTGAATTCCATTCTGTTTCCATCCGCCCACCTCTGTAACTTGTTTAGATCTAGTTGGAGTCTGTCCCTCCTCTCCAGTGTGCCCCCTTCTTCTCACATCTTTGTGTCATCAGTGAATTTGGACAGTGTGCTTTCCACACCCACCTCCAAGTCACTGAT